ATCATACTAATTTTCTAATTGGCTTGTTAAAAGACCATTTTACGAGGTGGAGGGTTGATAACCTGTACGACTAGCACGAAAAACTTTCGAGTTCAAATCGTTTGCGTACTCAAATCGCCATCAAAAGATTTAGTAAGAAAACTACAACAGCGCCCTTGTGAACGTGTCGTAAAGTGCACTTAGTATGAGATGTGGTTGCACGAAACTTATTTTGAGAATCAAAATTGTCACGTTATCGTTTAATTCTAAGATTGAGTATCGAATTTTATCGAATACGCAAACCATTCGAAGACGAAAGTTGTTCATGCTAGAGGTACTGAGATAGGTTTCATCGTAGTTCAGGTGTACCATAGTTCTGCTAAAACACCACATAGATAAAAACATGTAATGTATCACTTAGGATTTGCATAAAAATACTTAATATTACTACAATGTGCTTGCAACTAAAACTTGCTACACTAACCTATCAGCTATACCTACACTACCACGTGATTTTTTTTAAAGGTTAATAAAACAAAACACTACAGAAACAAATAGCCTTACCTTTACAGCGCCTCTCTCAAATGCAGCAGCCACGTTTCAGGATGCAGTTCCAATAATGAATAAATTATTTAATGATTAAATAATTAATGAAACGTGGATAGATCTGTTTCAGGAGGTGATCGGAGGTGGACTGAGATGGATATTGCTTGTGGTTCGGAAATGTAGGTCTTGTGGACGAAGCCAGCCTGCCTTTGGAGTACAGGGCTGTACTAAGTTTTTGATTAATAAGTTGTAATTCACTAGCTTATGCTCACGACTTCGCTCATGTAAATTTATTCTGTCACAAAAATACTATCAGTCGTGATTCCCTTTCAAAAACCGGGATATNCGGGATATAAACTATCAACAAATTAGGAACATATTTTCCCTGCATCTAAACATAATATTAAGTGGTTTTACCGTGAAAAAGTAACAAACATATTACGACATAGGTAGGTACTACTTTCGCATATAATACGTAGACCTTTAGGAGAGTGACTCGGAGGTTCGTGGTTCTGGGTTCAATTTCAGGATTAGACAAAACGTTTGAATTTGAACTGGGAATCGCTTTGTATATTTATTTTCAGTTGAATAAGGAAACGGAAGGCTCGAATCAACTACGATTCCGTACTTCGAAGTGCACGTTACATACAGCTAGTTTCAGCCTTGTATTAAGTAAAAATATTGAATAAAATGGTATTTTTCATTGTTACAATTTAATAACATACAAATAAGACTTTGTTTTTGTAAACTTTAAGTTAGACGTTGGTGGAACTAATTAATAAACTGAAAAACAAATTAGTCAAAAAGGAAATAATCCGATAATTATCTTTCAATTGAGTCTGAATGAATGAATTGAAAGATAATTAACTTTTAAACTGAATCTTTTCAATAATAAACCTTATATAATCGATTTGTCAATAGTAAATGGCCTCGAATATTTACGGAAACTACACTCATTAGTTAATTTGTTTACAACTATCCTTGCAAACTCATATTACTTACTTACTAATCTAAAATACACTAATGTTAGGCGTCTTCTTATTTATTAAACAAACAATAATAAACTGGTTTATTATCATCACCATATTGGTTTTTAGCTTTCCGTATACAATCTTATGGTGTTTTTTTTTATAAATTAGGTACATAAAAAAAAATTACGTCTTACGTACCCACATTACACCATGGTATAAACAGATTGATATTTCTATGGTTTAAGCTCAGGGTTTAAGATACGAATGTTTTAACCACATTTTTTTTTCAATCTACATAATTATTTTAGAGTAGTAACAAACAGTTTTAAAGTAGGTAGGCGGTACTTACACTAATATAATTTTTCTGCTGCTGGGCCCATAGTTTGACTGGGAGAGAAAGCATTTTGTACTCTGTTATCAATGTTCTTCTTCCTCTTGGCGATGTTAAATACCAATAAACCAATGTCAACAACATTTTTTTTAATAAATATAATTTTCTCTGCAAGCTCCACAGTAGAGTGCGGCCCTGCGCTCATGTGGTTTTCTGTGTATTCAAGTGTCTCCTGCTTATATTTGTTCCAATTCCTACGTAAGTGTAACCCGCAATATAATTTAGTTTTTATACTCATTGTTCACTTTGAGAGTAATTCCGTCGTGTCGATATGATACTGGTCAATTAACCGATTACATTTCGAAGCTGAGGTTCACATAATTAATTACGAATAGGTAACTAACTAAAATAAAAACAGAGGAGGTCATCAATTCAGTTGTGTATTTTGTACTTTTGTATGAGAAATTTATTTAAATTATTTTATTGGATAGGATGTTCTATAAAATATTAAACTTACGTTCAATTTAAAAAATGATATGTCCTAAAGTAGTTAGTTAGTACTAAAGAATTGGTGCCAATTCTGAAATGATTTCAGTTGCATTTATGAACTGCGAAACTTTCATTGAAATACCTAACAATGCTATGATTCATTTATATTCTACAACTTCTCATTTTCCTGCATAGGTCCTCTTTCAATAATACTGGTAGCTAGTATTGCAGGCGTAGTAGGACTAGTAGGCATAGCTAACTTATCTTTACACCATAGGTATAGCGTGGGACATCCACCTACAAGGTGGACCGACAACCTCATAATAAGTAAAGGTAGCAGGAAGGCGCTACCAACCTGGCTGGCAATATGGAAATCATTGGTGGACACCTATGCAGTGGACCTGTGGCTGAAAATATAATGATGATGATAGTACCTACTTCAAACTTGGAATTTTCAAAGATTTGATGAGAAAAGTGATTTTCAGATAAAAATAGTGTTGTAACATAATATCTGCCTATTGTCGAAAAAGCAAACACAAACTGGGTCATCCATACTCGTTAGTGGTATACAAATAATCGATTAAACACGATGCAGATAACCAAATGTACATTTGAATAAACATTGGCAGACTGGTCCCATTCTGGCCAAGGTTTGCTATTGTTGAAAAAATTACGAGAAAAACCAATAACTTTAAGGACTCTAGAAGGTAAACGTGATTCGACAGTGAATAATAGCTAGGTACGTGGAATACTTGGACATGTGGAATCTATGAAGTTCATAGTATGAAGCCATTATAATTAATAATTATTTTGTTTTGTTAATGTAGAATGGTAAAAAGCATTTGCAAGTAGGTACTAATTTAATTAGTCTAAACAAATAAAGATAATTTTGATTTTGATTTTAAATAATGTAAGCCTCTACGAAACATAACGTTCTTCTATCTATCCATTGTTTTCTCTATTACTTAGGCATCACTAGCTTTCCGCCCGCGGCTTCGCCCGCGTGGAATTTTTTCTGTCACAGAAAAACTTTATCGCGCGCGTCCCTGTTTCAAATACCGGGATAAAAACTATCCTATGTCCTTTCCCGGGACTCAAACTATCTCTATGCCAAATTTCATCAAAATTGGTTCAGTGGTTTAGGCGTGAAAGCGAGACAGACAGAGTTACTTTTGCATTTATAATATTAGTCAGCAAATTAAGCAAGCTTTAAACTTAGCTTACTTTAGAAATACATACCTACTATTACATACATAAAACACAACGATAACCATACAAATACGATTAATTTATTGTCTGAATGTTTGTATTTGAACCCGCAACCTCTTGTGGACCGGTACGCGAACCACTATGCCATGAAGCACTCATGATTGTACAGTCGTCCCTCTTAACTTGGATTAACTTAGTGTTATTTATTTATTATTTTGTTTATTACATTATAATTCAATGAATGATACTTATGTATTGCTTGGTTACTCCTTTAATTGGCACATGCATCTCGCGTTACGCGGTTGCAAAGACGACCGCAAGCGTAGATTATAATAATTTCAAGAATCAATAATTATTATTCATTGTATTTCAAAGTATGTTTAAAAACTCGCTGAAATCATCATCATCACCGCCAGTCTCTAGAATCATAGTCTCATCTCTTTTTCATTTAAGTAAGTAGGTTACGCTAGCATTAAGCTATTTTGCATCTAAAGAGGCCATCCGCAAGCGACCATGCCAGGTCGCCGTCGAGCAGGAGGTCTAAACCAATCTCCACAATGCAATCAGTGCTCCTGCGCTGTTTGAATCCAGCTAACGGCTTCCAGCAACCTTAGCAAGTCATCGGTCCATCGAGGAGAACCAACTACCTACTCTCCNTCTCCGTCTTCCAGTCAGTACCTAATCTCACCAAGTAAGTAGGTATGTACTCTTGAGAATACAGTTTCCAGCAATGATCAGCTCTGTTAGCGACGAGCCCAATCCCAATACTTACTGAAATTACTTAATGGTTGATTAAAATAAAAAATGTTCATGCATGTTTTAATTATGTAAAAAAAAAAACAAAAGCGGCGCCCTAGCTAGGAACAGTAAGATTTCTTTTTCTGTTTTCAGGGTTGTGAGCAATAGTAAAGAAAATATACTTCTATAGAAGACGTGAGGCTCAAAGGGATAAATTAATTTTTAAATATTTTAATAATATGAAGGCATGTTTTTAACATTTTTTTAATAACTTTAGTTTATTTAATGTTGTTCTTGCCTACATTAATAAAAAAGTAAACTGTCAATTTGACATTGACAATTATTTTTTTAACGTTTATGTGACAGTTACAGAGTTGCCAAGTTAGTATCTTTCACCAGATTTTCAGTAAAAATATTTTTACAGACTTCTTATATTCGCATTTTTTTTTCATCTAAGAACATTAGCTGGCGATTAAAGAAATTAATGAAATGATTGTAGCATTAAACAAAATACCTTTCTTTATTTTTCTATGCGACATCACACTTCAAATCAATTTCTTTTAAAGTTTTTGTCAAAAGCGGCTTAAAGATTTTTTTCGAACTACCATCCATACTTTTAAAATGTATTTACGGCCATACAGAAATAACTGTAAACCCCTTACCGGGTTTTACATCATTTTTAGGGATGAACTATTTTTGGTAAAATCGCTGTCATTAGTGTCAGTCAAGTTGTCAAAATGTCAACATCAGTCATCTAAATTGTTTTGCGCGTGTTGTTTGTGTGTGCAAAGTCGTACCTAAGAAAATTTAAGGAAAACCTTTGAAAAAATGTATATTTACGATCTGCCGTATGAAATTAGAAGAGAATTGTGTAGATTATTGGACGATGACAATGTTTGGAAGGAACTGGCTGACAATATGAGCTACAAAGCATTTGAAATTAAAGTAAGTGATTTGCACCGTGGGTTTCCCAACCACTTGTTGGGATTACCGAAATGTTGTACGTCCATAGTTATGTGATCACCAGCATTATCGTAATTCAGAAATCCCCATTGATCCAAATTGTCGGTCGTAAACATCGAATAAACCTGTTTTGTTATTCGGGATATGAGGTCAAACTTTCGTGTGTTCAACACTAAAAGGATTGAAATGACTAGAATATCTTAAATTACCATGACTATATAAATTATCTTCTACAATCTGTGTATTGCATAATAGAAATTAGGATACTTTGTTTATGTACTATACTTACACATACAATGATTTTTTAGGGCCATATACTAAACATTACATAAAATATCTCATATAGCTACATGCGAAAAATAAAGTTGGCTGAACACTTATCATTCAACCCCCATAATAATAAAAAAATACACCTAGTATGAACACTGGATTAAAATGACATAATCCATACTAAAATAAATAATGACAACTTAAGCCAGAGTTCAACTAGGTAACTTTTATTAATAAGGGGACAAATGTTTATTTAGTTTCATTCAATTTTACACTTAGGTTGGGTTGCACCACCTAACTTTGACCGTAACTTGAAGGTTATCAGAGCCCTGATTACGGTAATTTTTAACGTCTCAATCCAGACGCGCTTCATCGATTCTGCGATTCGATTGGTCAAAACAGCTGACGTACGCTGTTGAACGACGAATCGAGAAGCGTGTCTGGATTGGAGACGTTAAAAATTACCGTAATCGGGGCTCTGGTGTATTTTGTTTGGAGTTTGATAGTTTTTGACATTTGTCAAAGCCGAAGTAAGATGGTGCAACCCAGCCTTAGTTGTACTATCTTAGGTTCTTGGCAGACCTAAAACTTGTAAATGAACAAATCTCCAAGCCTGCCTCAGTCCCAGCTCAATAAAAACTGTGTAGCTGTGTAATAAAAAGCTGCACACCAAAGAATCATCATTTCAATAATCATTTAAGACTTATTTATACTTACAACTCTTGCTCTTTTGTTGATCTGTATTGTAATATCTTTGATACCAAATAAATATTTTTTCTTTCTTTCAACAATACAGTGTGAGTCACGTTAAAATGTACATATGAAAATAGATGAAACTAGACCTATTTTTATCGACAAAAAAGAGGTCAAAAAATTTTTGAGATTTTTTTTTAATTTTTTATAGAATTTTTTTTCTTCCAATTACTTATTGTAAAGAAAACATAATAACTTTTAAACTAAGCGGTATATCTTGATAAAGTAAAAACAGTAATAATGCTAAATAACAGGCAATACTAAAAAATACATAAAATACACAAATAAGGCCTACAAATAATAAAAAAATTATACTTTTTGAAAAAAATCCGCTTAAAAATTCGTGTTTTTTTGGTTATTTGATAAATTTCTCCAAAAAGTGCCCCTATAACCAGTAGTTTTTATTACTTTGTATTATTCTCTATCGTATTACCTTCGTAAAACGAAAAATCGCATGTCTCTATCCCTATCACAACGTTTGCAATGATCGTTTGAACTAAGCCTCTCCGGGCGCTCCATTCAACGCTTCGTTAACAACAAAACTGAAAATGGCTCTAGATTTGTAATTTTGATAAAAACAAGTTAGATTTCAAATAAAAACAAAAGATTTCGAAGTAAAATAAGAATTTTAGTTAAAATTAAAATTGTCTCTACCTGTAGCGGAGAATAATGTTGTGGCAGGCCTTTGTTCAAACGATCATAGCAAATGTTGTGATAGGGATAGAGACATGCGATTTTTGGTTTTACAAAGATAATACGATAGAAAATAATACAAAGCAATAAAAACCACCGGTTATAGGGGCATTTTTTGGAGAAATTTATAAAATAACAAAAAAAACACGAATTTTTAAGCAGATTTTTTTCAAAAAGTATCATTTTTTATTATTTTTTGGCATTTTTTGTGTATTTTATGTATTTTTTTAGTATCGCTTGTTATTAAGCATTATTACTGTTTTTATTTTATCAGGATATACCGCTTAGTTTAAAAGTTATTACGTTTTCTTTACAATAAGTAATTTGAAGAAAAAAAATTCTATAAAAAATTAAAAAAAAATCTCAAAAATTTTTTGACCCCTTTTTTCTCGATAAAAATAGGTCTAGTTTCATCTATTTTCATATGTACACTTTAACGTGACTCACACTGTATATTATTATTAGCTTATAGTCTTATTTTCATTCAGGAAATAGAACAAATGGCCCACCGCAACGCCAAGTCATCGACGGACCAGCTATTCACAAACTGGGGCCAACTCAACCATAGAGTCGGTGAACTCTTTATTTTACTGTACCGTATGAAGCACATACCAGCTTTACGGGTACTTCTACCGGTGGTGGAGAGTAAATACCATGTTTTGTTGACGAAGATCTGCCCTACCGGAGGACGGGAGAAAGACACATCTGTTATTGAAGGTACGTTGATTGTAGTGGCCAGGATCGCACTGTGACAGAGACAAAAGACCAAGATGAGAGACCGTAACCATTATTTGACTTTAGACAATGTATAAGCCGGGGTTCGAAATTATCAAGATAATTATCGGATAATTATCAACAATATAAAGATACATTCGTCATATTGTTACATAAAAAATTCTGATTGCTAATGTTGTTTTATGTTTGGTTGCTGATTGTTGTCAAGTTATCCATCAGTCCATCACTAGTCGCATAAAGCTTGGAAAATAGACAAATATTTTGACGCTAGATCACTAGTGATCATTGTGGTGTTAAAAAAATAGGTTTTGTAACTATCTATGTTGATTAACGCCTACCATTAGACGCAAGTGCGGAAATACACGTTCGAAAATTTCGAATACAGTCCATTTTCACGAGCGCATTTTTTTTGTTATTATCAACCGATAATTATCCATCTGTTAATAGGCTAGTTGCCTAAAAAAATTTTTTTAGTCCGTAATGTTTAATATCATAAAATATTGGACACATATATTTTTATTTGTCAATCTAACAAATAATTACATAGTTATGGTGCGTTGAAGTTGCGCACGGCGTCACAACGTGCGGCATTTTTAAGCAAGCGTTGACGTCACGGGCCTCTTCTTATGAACTTTGGGGCGCTTTATCTCTTTAAATTTTCATTAGTTTGAAAAAGTGAAAAATACGTGTATTTTTTGATAAGTTACCTGACGGACTAATTAAAACTCTTGCTTTTTGACCCAGGCAACATCCCCATTATCACGATAATTATCATGATAATTATCCTTTCGAACCCTGGTATAAGCGTTAGTTCGGGAGCGAGACAGAGACCTAAGTCAACTAACAGTCGCAGTCTCCCGTCTTGGTCTCGGCGACGCGAACCGCCACCTAGAGGTGACTAATGCCCGTTTTCACCATCAATCCCTAATTTTTAAGTAACCCCTATGGTCACATTTTACAGGAATTTTGTTTACATAGGGGTACACTTAAAAATTGGGGACTGATGGTGAAAACGGGCATAAGGCTAAGAACTCATTTTCACCCGCGCCCGCGTCGGTTGCGGGCCCGCAGCTTCTGTAGAATGCAGATACTTATGTAAAAACTAATGCACAACTCACGACGCGGTTTTCGCCCGCAGCGCGCAGTGGGCGCGGTTGAAATCAGGTCCCGCTCGGCGGGCGACCATTTTGTACCAGTGACTTAGCAGCTTAGATTTAAAATNACGTAGTTACATTAATCAGGTGTTGATTAACAATAGTACTTAAACTACTAATTAAATAAATCATTAATAACGAAAAAAAGTATTCTAAAATTGACATAAAAATATCACGGTATCAAATTATGATTATTAGTTTTAGAATCACAGATGCGCAATTACATTAATCAGTCAATAAACACATTAATGTTATTAAAAGTATCTCTTAAACTACTACTAACAAATAATAACAATTTAAAAAATCTAAAATTATGACAGAATATAATAATTATTACTTTAAAATCACAGAGACGTAGTTATCTAAATTGTTACAAATATAATTATTAGGTATTTAAAAATCACAGATACGTAGTTACATTAATCAGTTGTTGATTAACACTAGCGCTTAAAATATTATCTAGTTAAATAAATCATTAACAACAAAATAATAATTTGTATTTGACACAAAATATAATTGTAAAAAAATATGATTATTACTTCTATAATCTAATTTTCGTACTTTAATCGGTCTTCATTGGTTAATCAAATAATAACTATCGTAAACTTTCTAGAAAATGTCCTACTGTCATTTGGCCATTCAAAAATTCCTTTGTTTTTTCTATAATAAAGTCGTCCCAAAGTAATGACTCCTGTAAACGATTACACTGTTGTGATGCTGACAAATTTTCTACTTGTTTTGAAATCACTTCATAATAGGAGGCGTCGCTGAGCAGTGTGTTTAACAACTCTATGATATTCGGTTGCTTTTTTTTAATCGTTTTATTAAGCTTTTTATGCCACGCCTCAAGCATATTAGTAGTCCGGTGTCTCTCTCCGAATACGCACCAGATTGGAATAAACTCGTCTCGTAGCCACTGACTGAGCATATATTTGCGAAAAAGCTTGCTTTTTCCATCGTCAGGGCTCTGAGCAGCTATGTACCACCAACCGTTAAAAATTTGATTTTGAGGCAAATGAGGCAGTACAGCACACAATGCTACTTGCCTGCGAGTCCTTTTATTCTTAGTTAGCTTTAAATCTGTGCCTTTCTTCCATACAGCTTGTGTGTAATGAAAATAACATCCTTTTCTAATTACAGATGGGAACACAGAAATAATTGCATTTATGGCTGCCATCTCAAAATCTGTTTTAAAAGTTATTGGCTCCCATTGCGGTATTTGGGATTTTATTAAACAAAACAATATCTCATATGTTTCAGTGCTTTTGTCGCTTAGTAGTGCATAAGCAACTGGAATTATATGTGTTGCTTGGGTAGTACTACCAATGTCACAATGTAACGTATAGAGCTGCATAAATGGAATTGGACAGCTTTTGAATGTTCCATCTCCCATAAAATCTTTACCTTGAGACATGATCACTCTGTTTTTTTTAGAAGCAAATACTAATATACGCTTTCCTTCGTATGAGTAGTCTGCCAGTAAAAAATCTAAAAACTTTTCTGGTACTTTCACTTCTGCCAAATCTTTAAACGCAATTTTCTCCATTTGCACCGAAACATTTCTCGATCTGTATAACGTATTTTTGATACTTTTGAGTGGCGGAATTTTTTTTATCAAGTCCAAGCCTGCGTCTTTGAACTTTGCTACTGAAGCATTATATACTGAAGATACTGTTGGAAATTCAGCTGAAGATAACTCTATCTTGCATTTATTTAAATTATTATCTAATTCATTCTTGGCGAAATCTGGTAAGCATGTGTGTTGTTTCTCTCCCACGATATAATTTTTGCCCTAAAACAAAGAAAAGTCGTCGTTTACAAAACCTTTAGCAATGTTGCACATATTATATTACTAGCTACCCGCCCGCGGCTTATCGGCTTGGAATTTTGTCTGTCACAGAAAACCTTTACTGCGCGCGTCCCTGTTTCAAAAACCGGGATAAAAACTATTCTATGTCCTTTCCCGGAACTCAAACTATCTCTGTGCCAAATTTTATCAAAATCGGTTCAGAAGTTTAGGCGTGAAAGCAAGACAGACTGAGTTACTTTCACATTTATAATATTAGTATAGATATTAGTACAGAAGTATAGATAAAATAAGTATTCCACAGATAATTATAATACTAGTACAGACTGATGTATACAAACATTTTAAAGTTCTTATTAAAAAACGTTTGGGAATCACTATAGATATCGAAAAATTTTTGTACTGAATCTGTTTAATGATTATGACAAAATACTAAATTAACGCCACTGATTGTCGTTTCAATAAAGTGAATCTAGTAAAAACAGGTAAGTATTATTAACACTGATCGGAATAGGTAGAGCTAAAAGTCCAGTCGCCGAGCACGTAGAATTTCGTAGAATTTCGTCCAATGACCTCAAGCCACCCATCCTTATCCGCTCGCACGTAATTATATATTGCTGCCGCGACTGTGCGACGGGCGACCGCAGTGAGTGTGCGAGCACGACAGCAATATAATTACGCACGAGCGATAAGGATGGGTAGCTTAGGGTCATTGGATGAAACTCTTCGTGCTCGGCGACCAGACTACACTCGTATTTAGGTTCTTTAACGTCAAATGTTAATATTCCGGGTTATTAACGAATTTAATTAGTTTTATCACTAAGTATAAAAAACGATTTATATAGGCCAATAAGTCGCACGTAAATCGTCAGCAACACGTTGCCAAACGCGCGACGTTGCCGCCTTGTTGAAACGCGTGATAATCGCAGCATTATGGAAACAAACGAAAACTTACACAAGTACTTACTCCCTAAACATTTGTGGCAAGTACCTATTCCGATTTATGCATAATACAAAAGGTCTTAACGGTTAGTTAAACGTTATAATAGTACATAATGTATACTTACGTTTAAAGTTATTTTTCCGCAACATTTTTGTTTTTTTCGATTAATGCATTCCCACGCGATCGTTCCGTTTTTATATGTTTCTTTTAAACTATATTGGTGCCCACTACGTAAAAGAACAGTACCACCGTTTCGTTTTATAAAGGTTAAAGATGGTGGACCTTTAGAACAACTTGGGATGTCTTCATCTGTCATTATTCCTGGAACACAATAATTACCAACTCACTCATGTGCACTGAACAACTTCTCACATCCTACACTAATTAAAAATCAATAACAGTAAATACAAGTACAAAACACCAATGATTTTTGTTTACTTACCGACAACAAAAAAACACTACTAGCTTTGACCGCGTGCGCTCGAGACTGACTGACGTCACCCACTAGCATTTGTGTAGCGTACAGAATTAAGACGCGCCGCGCCCCACCAATTTTTTGTCGAGGGAGGGAAGCGCGGGGTGCGGGCCGCGGAAGAATGGTGGGGCGCGTCTTCGTGGATGGAACGATCTATACACGTTGCTTCCTAATCTTACTTTTATTCTGAAGATTTTTTTGAACAGTCACTGTTAGGTAATTAAAACTGACTTTTATTTACAATTTTTATTTTTTATTTTATTAAGAGCGTTTACGCCGTTTGGCGCAAAAACAGTACTTTTTCAACCCGTTACAATCATTGACCAGTTACATTACAAATATGTTATAGGCATAAATAATTAGGCAATTTCGTCGTCTAAATAGTTAGTTGAGAAAATATTTCGATTAGTATCGTATTTAAGAATTCTATCAAGATAAGTCTATACAGGTTTTCAAATTTCCACTTTAGCGTCAGTTTACAAGCTGATTTTTTTATAAAAATACTGTGAAAACGATATAACAAACATTTATATCTTAGTATAGGTCCTTAGGCAAATAGTGAGTTGAGAAAATTCTTAGATTTAAGCATTTTGATGGGGCAGAGGGCGTCCACAACAGTCCTCCATCTAGTTCGGTCTTGAGCTTCTCGCTTGATCTCGCTCCAGGTTTTGCCGATCCTCTTCGCCTCGTCCGCTACAGTGCGCCGCCAAGTTTGCCTGGGTCGACCACGTTTGCGTTTTCCTTGGGGATTCCAATCCAGAGCCTGCTTAGGGATGTGATCGGGGTCCCTTCGGAGAGTGTGGCCGATCCAGTTCCACTTGCGGCGCTTGATCTGCTGGTCGATCGGAATTTCGTGGCAGCGTTCCAATAGCTCGACGTTGGAGATTTTCTCGGGCCAGTATATGCCGAGAATTCGGCGAAGGCAGCGGTTGATGAAGACCTGCAGCTGGTGCGAGATAACCTTGGTGACCTTCGACGTTTCACACCCATAAAGCAGAATGGATTTAACGTTGGACCCGAATATTTTGATCTTGACCCTTCGGGTCAATTTCCGTGACTGCCATATGGGGCGAAGTTGTGCGAAAGTAGCTCTGGCCTTGGCAATGCGCGAAGTGATGTCCTCTTCAGTACCTCCAGTTTCTGACACGACGCTCCCGAGGTAGGTGAAATTGTGGACTCGTGCTACATCCTCTGCACCAATCCGTAATGGCGTGCAATTTCTCACATCAGATCGCATCTCTTGGGTCTTCCGGCAGTTAATTTTGAGCCTTGTGATACCCGCTTCTCGATGTAGGTCATCAAGTTTGGACTGCATATCGTGATGCGTGTGGCTCAGCAAACAGAGGTCATCGGCATAATCTAAGTCTTCTAAGACTCCGGTTATACCCCACTCTATTTCACGCCGTTGGTCTTGATATGCGCGATTCACGACTCCATCCAAGACAACCAGAAAGAGAAGGGGCGAAAACCATTTAAAAGCCTAGTTCTAAACTTCATTTCATTAAAGGAAAGGGTTTTACCCCAAAAATGTGTCTGTAGAAGAATCCAGGGTCACTTCTTCAAAAAATAGGTAGTTACGCTTGAGCCGACTTTTATGACTATAAAACTGTTAAGTTGGGATTAATCGCTATCCATCTGTTAAAGAGGACACGTGTGATCATTATTTGGTGTTATAACCATAAAAATTGGTCTAGTTGATCCCAGAGGTGAGTCCAAAGTGAGGTCTTTTTTCAAGTCACATTTATTGTATATCGCGTTTATGTTACCCGTTTATTAAGAATATAATGTGTTTTTCTTTAAGGATATTTATTGGGCTTTCAAATAACACCAATATTGTTAGGGCACCATGACTGTATCAGTAGAAACGAGTTTTCCTGTAAAACGTAGGTGGGCCGATTTTTGTGATGACCAGTATAGTTAAATTTTCGCTATTCAATCACACACTCACGATTGCAGCCGAAATTGAATTGATCTGCCCCCTAGACAAGTGGCAAAATCTGACATTCTATTCGGACGGATTCGATTTTCCAAAAGTGTGACTAGTCTATTCTACTAATAGACCCACTGATCGCGTTCGAAGCACCTGTGCGGCACTATAATCGTCACGACATGCAACGAGACAATGGGCCAACTATCCGGCCGCCGGATATCCGGCTATCCGGCCTAGCAGCTGGCCGGATATCCGGTATCCGGTATCCGGCCAAACAACTATCCGTTTCATCTCTAATTATCAACCGATTATCCATCTGTTATTATCACGATAATTATCATGATAATTATCCTTTCGAACCCTGGTATAAGCGTTAGTTCGGGAGCGAGACAGAGACCTAAGTCAGCTTACAGTCGCAGTCTCCCGTCTTGGTCTCGGCGACGCGAACCGCCACCTAGAGGTGACTAATGCCCGTTTTCGCCATCAATTCCTACTTTTTAAGTGACCCCTATGGTAACAAATTACAGGAATTTTGTTGTCATAGAGGTCACTTAAAAATTAGGGACTGATGGTGAAAACGGGCATAAGGCTAAGAACTCATGGCGCGATTTTCACCCGCGCCCGCGGCGATTGCGGGCCCGCAGCTTCTGTAGAATGCAGATACTGATGTAAAAACTAATGCACAACTCACGACGCGGTTTTTGCCCACGCGAAAACTGCCCGATCGGCGGGCGACCATTTTGTACCAGTGACTTAGCTCACCATGAGCCAAGAACTCACGAGTTTTGAAATAAAACCGCAATTCCACAACCGACGCGGGCGCTGCTGGTGAAAATCGCGCCGTGAGTTCTTAGCCTAAGTGAGAAATAAGCCATCATAGCCCAAAGGTGAAGTGGTCGGACTGGCCGACTCGAGATCCGAGGAACGCGGGTTCGAATCCCACCGCCACTTGACTATTATGGTGAGCCCATTCGTAACACAAGCTTATTTAGCACACGAGGGGCTAACGGGACTATTAGTAACTAGCTTTCCGCCCGCGGCTTCGCCCGCGTGGAATTTTGTCTGTCACAGAAAAACTTTATCGCGCGCGTCCCTGTTTCAAAAACCGGGATAAAAAATATCCTATGTTCTTTCCCGGGACTCAAACTATCTCTATGCCAAATTTCATCAAAATCGGTTGCGAGGTTTAAGCGGGAAAGCGTAACAGACAGACAGACAGACAGAGTTACTTTCGCATTTATAATATTATTATAGTTGGGAAGTTGGGATTTGTGCAATACAAATTGCTAATAATCTTTAAAAAAATAAGCAAACGTCGGGCTTCCCTACCCCATTTGGGTAGTTTGGGGATGGGCGTTCGCGCTAAGTTTGCCTGTCCGTGGAATGCACGTCCCCTCCCAGCCGCGATTAAACGCAATTAGTTAGTGATTAAACGCAATTAATGTGTCTTATTTTACGCAAATACACAATTTTTATCAGTAACAATAAATAAAAAATATTTTAAATAAATAGTTTGTTACAGTTAAAGACGCTTTACTTCGAATGACGTCATATCGCCAGTGGCAAACTTAAAGCGAACGGATAGTAGGCCAAATCTCTTTTCTGTCTGGGAAATCAGAGAAGGTTATTCCACTGCAGTGAAGACAAAATGACCTATGATGTATCATCATGAAAAAAAGACAAGAGCAAAAAGTAATTGCTATTCATTTTTGTTTCCAGATAATCACAACAAAAAGCAAAAGGTTCACACAGAAGACTCTCTGATACCAATACCAGTGAAGCTGATTGAACAGGTAAAATCTTAATTATCTTTTAAGGTGATTCTCCATAGGTTGTCTGGAAGAGATCGCTGCACAGCGATAAGACCGCCTATTGTGCCTTTCCGTGTGTTTCTTTTTTGTTCTTATTCAATGTTTGTTCTTGTGCAAAAAAGAGTATTTATTATTATTATTCTGGACAAAGATCTCAAACTACAAGGATTGTTATTTATTTTCTATCAGCTCTATCACTTTTCCTTTAGGACCCACATTAAAATCGAAAAACCTTACCTCTATTTACCTATTGAGGATATTTTTTACTATAGCCTAAGCCCCATAATATCTTTTCTTCATCTATCTACATTATTGACTAGATTATTCTATGAGTAGCCTAAGTTTTGATATTAAATCACAGGCTTGATACACTTGAGTTAGAATAGAGGTCGGAAATGTGTTTCATAGTTAACAAGCCTTTTTAAACACATACAACTTGGATTGACTTTATCCAGCAGTATGGGCAAAACTTTGTTTCACCTTTTATTTACTCAGTAACTTGCAAACCAAGCATGCAATTACACACGAAACAATTTTTCCCAGAAATATCAATACCAACACAAATTCGTGACGATTTTCTTCAAAGTACGTCATAAAAGAACATTAATTTACTCGATACTCTTAAGGTGACTCATGTTTTATTAATACTTTTCCTTGTTTTAGGGTGTACCTCTACCGACTTCCAGCGGGGGTCTCGTCGACTCGCCTACAGACGATGACTTCGATATTAGTAAGGTACTGGCGCAACCTATTTTTATCCGACCTCAACAAAAGGAGATTCTCAATTCGGTTGGTTTTTTTATGTACGTACTTACATTTGGTTCCATAATAATCTATACTTATAATAAATCTGTAGAAAGGTCAATTCTGTACATGAAATATATTTTCAAAATAACTATCAGGGGGTGACTAGTGATCGATACTGATGCCAAAAATGCAATCAGTAAAATTTTTGTCTGTCTGTCTGTCTGTATGTTCCTTATAGCACGTTCNAATATTGGGTTCTTTAATTTCATCAAAGCACACGCGTTGCTTTTATTCGCTAAGGCACGTGCATTTTCTGTTACATTGCAGTGTCCTGCTTCAATCGCTATTGGGCTGCGGAGGCAGCTGCCGGTAATTGTGGCGAATCACCGCAGTTCACTTCCTCTTGCCGAGTTCCACACCGATAAACACACAGGAGCCCCTGAGATAAATTATTTTATAGCAGATGAAACGAGAAGAATTTATCAAAGTAAAGGTACTTTGTAATATTCATATCACATCATTTTCATTTTAAAAAGCCAACGTAAGCGTACACCTCACAAAGCATTAATAAAATAGCTACCTCCCTACTTATTTTCTTTAAATGTTTGTTTTGAAAAATATTAATGACAGTTATGAGATGGAAGATTGAAGCCAATTGCCAGCAGTGAAGAGCTGCTGCGCGCCGAGACTAGTGGAGAGCCAATTAAAAAGCCCATTTGTATTCAATCAGGCGGCGCGGGGGAGCGGGCGAGGGCGGGCGGGAGCGACCGAAATTCAAATCTGCCAATCCAGGGATGAACGCGTCGCTCGTAAAAATGATGCCAATTTACGATAAAAACTTGATTCCGTGCATTCCGCAGGAAATCTGCGAGATCGCATCATGTCAGTTTTACTGCCACCCCCGCCGCCATCCCGCCACCCGGCCGGAGTCGACTTCCTTTATGGAAGTGCGAATTTATGGCCCAACTTTCATGAAAGCTTTTCTGAAACTTACGCATAGACCACCTGTGTCTTCCTGAGGCATCGCTGGGGGCGGGCGCACAGTGGTCCCGATTTAATAAAACATGGACATTGATGCTAGAGGCACGAAAATTTTTTTGATGGTTACTGCTATGATAACTAATACGGCAAAAAAATATTACAATCCTACGACGTCTATTTCGTAGTAAAAAAAAATATATACATATTTTTTGTATGGAAGAAATTACGTTTCTGTCAATTTTTCGAAATTCTTTAACGATGTCAAAATGCCGATCACACATGTTATAAAACAAGTGATTCTGAGTATTTCATGCGAAGATACTTGTCACTTATCTCTGCGTACTTTTGAGTTATCGAGGGTTGAAAAATCGATTTTTTTATATTAAATATTTCCACGAAAAATTGCCAGAATTACAATATGGTGTATAAGGGACACTTTTGATGACACATAACAACGACTCGCACTCGCGCGCGCTCGTATGCATCAACTTTTATTAAAATAAAATAAAAATTAAGGGAAATACGTTGTATGTATAGGTCCGCTGGCCGTCAAAAAGTAGCTTATACGAGAGGTTGCCCAATTTACAATATGTCCATCATTGATAACTCACACAAATATCGTCTCTCTCTGAAGGATAACAAGTTTTTTTTTTGTTTCCAGAAGCTCTTGATAGGATGGAAGCCCATAAATACTCTCTGAAGCGAGAATGAATCTCAAATTGCGATATTGCCATTTTGACAAATTACATGATGTAACTAGCGCTAACGTTTATCTTTAGGTAGACACAGTTTTAAGTTAAAAGATTGTCTACTATTTCACACTGTTCTTCGTTTTGGAACAGTTCTTTGATTATAGGTAGTCGCTAATTTCGTTTTGTTAGACTCTTTCAGTTTAGCACATAAAGCGTAAACTAATTCCTCCTCAGAATGATCTAAAAGTGTTAGAGAGCGTCCTCTTCTTCTGCAGAAGAAGAATTTTGCATAAATCTTCAAAAGGTTTTTTATTTATACTAAAAGTCGATGTTGCACATCTACTTCTGCAGTCTCATCAACTGGAGCGTCTTCCTCAGTATTAACGTTGTCTATGCGTTGTGTTAACTCGGTAAAAAACATTGTTTAAATCTATATTTTTACAATTCGGCCAGACAATTTCAGAGTCTAGCCAATGGGAATTCTGGTGCAAAAATGTCTTTTGGGCTCTGCTGGAAGCAGACCATAATTATCTTCTTTCATATATTTCTTGTAAAATTACGACTTAATGATTTGATAATTACTCAAATCTTCGGAAGACAATTCAATGCCAATACGTTCGTCATTTTAGTCTGAAATGGTCTGGCCGAAATGTAAAAATATAGATTTCAAAAATGTTTTTTTACCGAGTTAACACAACGCATAGACAACGTTAACACCGAGGAAGATGCTCCAGTTGATGAGACTGCGGAAGTAGATGTGCAACCATCGACTTCTGGTATTAAATAAAAAACCTTTTGAAGATTTATGCAAAATTCTTCTTCTGCAGAAGAAGAGGCGCTCTCTAACACTTTTAGATCATTCTGAGGAGGAATTAGTTTACGCTTAATGTGCTAAACCGAAAGAGTCTAACAAAACGAAATTAGCGACTACCTATAATCAAAGAACTGTTCCAAAACGAAAAACAGTGTGAAATAGTAGACAATCTTTTAACTTAAAACTGTGTCTACCTGAAGATAAACGTTAGCGCTAGTTACATCATGTAATTTGTCAAAATGGCAATATCGCAATTTGAGATTCATTCTCGCTTCAGAGAGTATTTATGGGCTTCCATCCTATCAAGAGCTTCTGGAAACAAAAAAAAAACTTGTTATCCTTCAGAGAGAGACGATATTTGTGTGAGTTATCAATGATGGACATATTGTAAATTGGGCAACCTCTCGTATAAGCTACTTTTTGACGGCCAGCGGACCTATACATACAACGTTGTATTAAGTATTTCCCTTAATTTTTTATTTTATTTTATTAAAAGCTGATGCATACGAGCGCGCACGAGTGCGAGTCGTTGTTATGTGTCATCAAAGGTGTCCCTTATACACCATATTGTAATTTTGGCAATTTTTCGTGGAAATATTTAATATAAAAAAATCGATTTTTCAACCCTCGATAACTCAAAAGTACGCAGAGATAAGTGACAAGTATCTTCGCATGAAATACTCAGAATCACTTGTTTTATAACATGTGTGATCGGCATCTTGACATCGTTTAAGAATTTCGAAAAATTGACAGAAACGTAATTTCTTCCATACAAAAAATATGTATATATTTTTTTTTACTACGAAATAGACGTCGTAGGATTGTAATATTTTTTTGCCTTATTAGTTATCATAGCAGTAACCATCAAAAAAAATTTCGTGCCTCTAGCATCAATGTCCATGTTTTATTAAATCGGGACCACCGTGGGGCGGGGAGTAGGGGGTGGCGGGAGCTAATTTAAGACGTGATTGGCGCTAATCGCTGCCTCGCATGCCGCTGGACTCTAACATCACACTGATTATTATTTGATTCTGATATTAGCTCGTAAAGGATAACGTATTATGATGATGTATCATAATAGTAGCGCCGTAAGCATTTCTTCTTGGTGCACCTTTTATAAAAACAATTAATATAGTTCTGCGAGGAATCGGGGTAAGTAAACGAGTAAAGTAAAATTTTCCTAACCAGATTTGTAATTCATTCAGTCATTATGGTCATTTATTTAGTATCCTCTTTGAGATCATGAATAGGTATCTCTAATTTACCAGAGGCAAATTGAAGATTTAGCCTCCACTCTCTCCATCCTGACGTTTTTGGGAGTGACCTACCAGTGGCTACCAGTTGGCATTTGGCAACGGTGATTAGGCTGAATCGCTCCACCGCGCTCAGCATTATTACTTCGGCAATTGATGAGCTAATAATTCAACAAGCGCTTATGAAACACGTCGCCGGTTTGACGTTATTGAACATAAACATCCAGTCTTGGAACAATACAGCCATCCAATATGCCGCGGGGTAGAAACGAGGGGCGAGGGTTAACTACAGTTTTACTGTTTCATAAGACCGGCCGTTCACTCCGCGCAGTAAAAAAGAATTGCACTCAAATCCTAGGCTTTACCGTTTGTTTGCTATCGCGCGAGATATTTTAGTGCCCGCGTCTTGAAACACGCACAAACGGTTTCCTATCCATTGCTTCTTATGAAGCCGTACCAGTAGTCATGTCCAGGGTGGAGCCGTAAACGGACTCAAGACAATGCGAAGTCGCAGTTTGACAGGCGACATGTCATGTTATCGGGGACTCGTGTTACGTCACCGGCCCGTAAAAGCCGAATAAGCAAACATACTAAACGGGCCTCCGGAACATTACATTCGCAGTGTAATGCAATAACTACGAGTATTTCGGTTTTGGCGGTAGTAACATTGCAAGTAAAGAAGCCGATTGAGCTATGGCGTTTACTTCATTGGAATGGGCGTTGCATTTTATAACCGGTACTTATTACCTCTTGGTAACCACAGCTGAATTATTCAGTAATTGTGGAGTGTCATCCGTTTCTTGATACATTTATACCCGTTTTCACCATCAATCCCTAATTTTTAAATGACCCTTAAGAAAACAAAATTCCTGTTAGATAGAGGTCACTTAAAAATTAAGGATTGATGGTGAAAACGGGCTAATGCCCGTTGCCTAATGGCACCTAATAGAAGAAAACCAAAACGTTAGCATAATTTGCTAGCCATTAAGATTCATAGCGGCCGCGGCTATCGGCAGCAAGCTTTGTTTACAGGCCAGCGCTGTCCGAGATACGCCGCTCGAAATAAAACGTGAAAACGCGGCCCGAATCGATAGCGGACGAAGCGAGGAATTTATAAAAGTGGCCGGGAGCGGGCGGGCATCTGCGCTCTTGCTTTTGTGCACGCGTCTCGGCCGCGCCGCTCCGGCGGGCGGGCGGCCGGCGCGTGCGAGCGAGACGGCGTTTGCGAGCTTGCTTCCCGCTGCGCGTGTCTGTCTGCCGCCATGCGCGCCGCCGTGTTTGCTCCGCGACCTCGCGGCGGTATGACGTGCGCTTATTTATGTTGGCGATAAGTCCGCCGGCGATGGCGTCTTCGGTGGCGGACGAGGCGGCGCCCGTGGGCCGCATGGTGGACTCCAGCCAGTCGGAGGACCGCAAGATGATCCGGCTGGTCCGCGAGCGGCCGCTGCTGTACGCGCGCAACAACATGCCCGTGGCCAGCGTGTACTCGCGCGTCAAGGGCCTGTGGCGCGAGGTGGCCGACCAGATGGGCTGGAGCGGTGAGTCATTCTGAATCTTAAGTCTATACAAATACGGAATAATTCATTCCGAGGACTGTAGCCGCAACGTTCCATGACGTAGATTTCGTATCGCTCTTAGGTATGACTGCATAGATGTTATATTTGCAGAGCCTGTACCGAATAATTAATTAAACACGTGCTGTTGAGCATTTACATAGCTATTATGATGTTATTAATAGTTATTATATGAATCTCTCAGTCCTCTGTTTAATTTTTATGACGTGTGCTAGGTATGTAGAGCGTAAACAAGTTCGATTCTCGCATTGTTCGCGGCAGAATGTTTACAGTTAATCTGGTTTTGGTACGTGGTAGGTACCTACCTATCTGTGGTAGTATCTATTGTACCTACCAACTACTTAGGATTGATGAGCCTGCTCAGTCAGTGTATTTCATATTCTGGTTTTCACTGCTATACTATAAGTTACTCGCAAAAAGTAGCTGTACATATTTGAGTAATATTTTAGTATAATGTTGCTATCGTGCGCTGTACACCTACTCGTAATACCTTTATCGTCACACAATGACTGTTATCAGCCGACTTAAGGCGATAGTGACGATGATTTGTCTTTTGTCTTGCTCTCTGGAGTCGCTGTCGCTGTTGGGGGTACCATTACCAATTACCAAACCAACTGCTTAATTGATTAAGTAACAAAGCGTGGCGTGGTCTTTTTTAAAATTTATCTAGAATGTTCTCTTATAACCGTGTGATTTAATAAAGAAACAAAGAAAGAAGAATTCAGGTTGTACCTAAATCCTAAATCGCTTCGCTTTGGAGTTTTTCTATATGTTAGTTATTAAATATTGTAATTTACTCCGTGAAGCTATGTCTAAATTATTAAAATTGCCACGAATGTTACTTTGTCTAGGGGCTCATTTATTCTGCTGATAATATTTACCACGAGAGCGAGGCTCACAGTGAACAAAAAATAAAAAAAAACTATGCAGATAAACAAAGACCTACTTACTTATTTTTTGCATTCAGATATTTTTAGACTAGTACATAGTCTCTTTAAATAAAAATGTTACCAAACTTCTTTTTATTCTTTAAAAGTATAAATAAAATAGATTTTAAAGCGCTTAAGATTTTATTTATTTAATCAAAAAAGTTTTCCAATTGTTAAAATAACAAGAGCCATTTTTACGGTTCATTTCGTTCGTTCGTTCGTTCGTTTCAGCCAAATGACGTCCACTGCTGGACAAGGGCCCCCTCCAAGGTTTTCCACAATGCACGGTCCTGCGCTGCCTGCATCCAGGCTCTTCCCGCGAACTTTACCAGATCCCGGTTCATTTATTTAACAGTAAATCCTTCCTCTTTATCCTACATTTACCGACTCCAAAAAATCAATCATAACTTTCCAAATAGGTAAATAAATAATGAAATTTATTTTCCTACTTTTAATGTGCAGTTTTAATCTATTTGTTGTAGATCCCCTGTAAGTACGAAGCCCTATCAAAGACAAGTTAATAACTGTAAAGTCGCAGACAAATATAGAGTTTCATCAAATGCATTTTTGGATATTTTTTATTTATTTATTTAAAAAGATCACCATTAAGTTTTTTATATGTAGAACTACGATAAAAAGTTTAGTTCGTAGCGTAGTTTGACCGTTACGTTACTACGAACATTATTTGTAAGTATAACGGTCCTTAAATATGAACAGTGTATATATTTTTAACCTTACACCCATAATAATGGCGGTAGCGAAACGACCAAGACACTTAATATTTTGATTGAGATGTAGAGTTTCTGAAATTAGGGCTTGTAGAGTTTGGGCGAGTAGTTAGAAGTTGGTCTCTACATGATATCTGCGGATACGAAGTATTATTATGGACTCGTCTTGGCAGCATTTATAAAAAAAAACTGATTCCAAAAATGTAACATAATTATTTTTTTAGGACAAATAAATACATGATATTTTTGGAGTCAGCTTTTTAGAATTACGATTAATGATCAGTTTGCTGTTACATATTAATTTCTTTATTGAAATTGATGTACCAGCAACACATACCGATATGTTTAACAAGCAAATATGTAATCATGACAAGATAAAAAGATAGGTATGTCCCTACGATTTGTAGCAAAAATCATGTGTAGCAGTAGGGCTGCCAGATGGTCGGAACTTGGCGGGATTTTCCTGAAACTTTGCATATCCTCTCTCCGGACAAAAAAAAAGTCTCTCGAAAAATAACTTCAATTAATTTAGGGATTTCAAATAGTATTTTTCTCCCGACAATAGGGTCGAACCAATCTGGCACCCTGACTCTACCTACCTCGAAGACGTTACACGTTTCGTCGACTCCAGGTTTCGGGAAGCGCCCGGACGCAGGCAGGCGTTGATCCTGTGAATCCCCTTTTTGGTTGAACCAAACGAACGAAAATACTAAAATTATGCTAGGTATTAGAGTTAGAGTTGCTGTTCATATATAATTATATATTATTTGTTGTTTTAACCTGTAATTGGTGGTAAATACAAGTCTGCACTCTGCAGTGATGGACGTGCGGCGCAAGTGGTCCCACGTGCGCAACTCGTACTCGCGGCACCTGCGCAACGAGATCCACGGCGCGCGCACCGGCCGCGGCCGCCGCGTGTCGCGCTGGTACCTGGCCGACGAGCTGGACTTCCTGCGCGAGCACATGGCCACCGACCTGTGAGTACCGACCGAGCGCCTTCACCACACTCACCACTTCAGGGTCACTGTAGCTGGCCGAACTGGCAGTAATCCTGCGCCACTCATGACACTTGCACCTCTCCGCGACTCTTGCGGCTAATTCGCACTGAAATTTACACTGTAAACCCGTAAACTTGTTTATTTCTCTCTGTTTTAATCTATGTCTTACCTGCTTGTATACCTTTCTTGCAAATAAAAAGTTTTCTATTCTATTCTATTCTATTCTATTCTATTCTATTCTATTCTATTCTATTCTAAAAAGAAGACTAACCACACTTAGGTGCACCACTATACGTTTCAGATAGACCTACATTAGTGCATTATTAAATCAATAAGTAACTGTCCATGATACATGCCGTGACAACCTACAAGTGAGAAAACAGTTGTTGAGGTTTCACAATTCTTTCTTTGTTCTTCCACAGACGAATGTCACCTACCTTCCCATACTCTGCATCGCTTCTCGAAATAGAAGGGATAAAGTCGCCTCAGCAGGAGCCGGTGGAGACCAAGCCCTTCATCAACAACCCCTGGCTGAGCATCCCCTCGACCTTCGAGCCCAAGGCCGAGCCGCCCTCCAACGACGACAGCTGCAGCTCGACGTTCGAGGCCGACGAGAACTCCTCCTTTTTCCAGTTCTTCCGCGGCATTCACAACGACTACCAGGAGCTCTCCGCCCGGCGGCAGCGCATCTACAAGAAAAAGTGTTTGGACTTTTTGTTGGAGCTTCTGGACGAGCAGGATTCGACGCAGTCGCCGCTGTACCAGAGCGGAGCCATCAACCTGTCCAACTCGTCTCACGCCAGCGACGACGAGCGCGAGCACAAGGTCTGCGTCGTGGAGCACCTCGTGGAGCTGCCGCCCGCCTCCGACTGACTGTGATACTGTACACGGCGCACGGGTGTGCGCAGCGCATGAGCGGAATTGAGACAATTCCGTATCTACTAGTTGTACTTAGATACGATAAGTATATATTGTAGTTATATCTAGCTATAAAGAGATAATAATTAATAATCTTCTGACAGACTCACTAAAGGAGAACAAAAATGATTGTGTTGTCATAACTTGGAGATCAGATTATGAAAAAATAATAATATTTTTAAGTATTTAAACATAACTTGCAAGACCCAGGTAAGGTATTTTCCCTTCATATAAAACGTAATCCTAATAAGCATACATAATAAAAACGTATCACTTACAAAACAGGTTCCAAACGTTGAACATTTTCATGTCAAGGCTGGATCGCGATAACAGCGCCAAGGTCAGGGCGTTGCTAACTCGTTCCGGATTATAACAATACGATTCATGCTGGAGAGTAAAACGCATCACTGCGCACAATGAAAATAATAACATGGTACACCTACGATCACAAATTCATTTTTATTTGCTGATGATCACCAAGATGCTGATGATCATTAAATAATATTACAACCATGCCTATGCCAATGATTGTTAAATCACTTTAAATAGACATTTCTAGTAGTGGAAGTTTCAAGTGCCACAATAAACTGCAATGGGTGGGATAGGTGGGTAATTGAAGTTCCGGGAAAATGTTATCGTTATATCATAATATGCAATTATTTCATGTTAATTGTGACTGTTACTATGTAGGTATTTGCCGTTAGAAATTCAAACAATACCTTATACCTACTATTTTTTATTCTGTGACAATACCTACAATAAGAGCTATTGTAAATTATTATAATAATAGTTATTAAAAATAAATAAGTAAAAGACGGACGGAAATCTTGTTTTTCAATTTATTATTTAGATTTACTTATAATATCATGTAGGTAGTTATTTTGCGTATGTGACATTATGTGTAGATAAAATAAGTAGTTAAAACTCTAGTCAATATTTTAACCTCTACTAAATTATATTGAAGTCTCTGAAGGTTTAAATACAGAGGTGCAATGCAACTATAATGCTTATAGGTAAAAGAATTAAAATTAAAAAACACTTATTAAGATCAAAATACATTAACTAATATTATGTATATGTTACGGTTAATGTGATAAATGTGAAAATTATGAATAATCGCCGGTTATTATGAATAATTATTATGAATAACCGTAACATATATACCAAATCATAGCGCATGTTTCGTTACCGTTACACATAAGCGCGGCCGACATTGCCCGGGCGGCCGGGCGGAGGCCGCCCGCCCTGTGGCTGCTCTTTGGGCGGCTCTGTACGTTGATAAATCACAAAATAATGAATCCGACAACTATTACCATACTATTTATTTAAATATATTCATTAATTGATTTTATGTTATACTTGTACTTAAAATACTGCCTGTGACTTCGCTCAAGCCAGTCGCGCAATTGTAGGTAACTGTTATTCATACGTTCATAAAAGTAGAGTTACATTTCCATTGGATCACATGAATGTATTTCAGGTAGGTAGGTATGTAGAGTCTCTTGTAGTTCGTCTAGTCCTAATCATTGACTATTGTTCATTGATTTAGTAGTTCTTTCGAATGCAGAACTAGTAGTGGTGCTATCAGAGAAGCGTTACAAGTAACTTATTTAACACTTTTCGGATTCCGGGCTGGGTTGGAAAGTTAGCGTCGGAAACTCAGTGTCGCCCCCTGGCGAGGACGCTCCGACCAGTCTGCAACAACTCACAACGAACAGATCTTCGGAAAGTTTCCGCCAATGCCAGTAGTTTCGTTTTGTAACTCACTTTACTAACAGGATTTACAATGTCTGTCAACACCAAGCAAATAAATCAATTTTAATATTGTAAGTAGCGTAAGTAGATTAGCAAACATGTAGGATCAAACCCTCTGCAATCTGCATGCAAATAAAATACTTTGTATTATCTAACAACACTGTCGTTAGATTGATATCACTCGGAGCCTCCTCAGGACCGCGGGAAAGGAATGTCGAAGATTTCAGGAAAGCGCCCAACGCAGAGTTTGACGACGCTCAAATTAATTTATCGAGGGCGAGCGGCGCCGGGGCACAACATAGTCGAGCTAAATTGAAACGTGACGTCATTCGCCTGTTTAAAGAATCCATTGTCCGAAGACCTTTTTGTCCCTCGGGACGCCCAAACTCACTTATTCCGGCAAAATGCCTACTCGCTTACCATACCGGGATTGGCAGAACTTCCGCTAACCAATTTTGAGTCTCGCCGTTCAAAGATAAGGTCGGTTTTCGTCCCCGTCTCCAAGGGAAATATGTTAAAGCGATAATAATGGAGACGAGGCGCGGGAGGAGGGTGGCCCGATAAATCAAATAGAAGCCTTTCCAATAGTATCTTCAAATGAGACGAGTCCCTGATTTTGCATGTTTCGTGTAAATGGGTCGGACGCCTGACGGCGAGGGAGGCTGCCGATTAGATCAGAACTAGTGTCCCAATTTACACCTTAGAGACACACACCTTAGCCTTAGGGGATAGGCTAGGTCCGTAGGTCGTGAATCATATTTATTTGTTAGGTATGTATCGGGAGTCCTGTACCGATTCGTTCGGGACAGTTCTAGTTTCTCTATTCTTGATTCGGTTCCTTGGCAATGAATCTACCCATTACGGGAATATAGAGGCTTCACTCACCACGCCATAATCGGGACGTCCCGAACTCTTCACCCTAATGCAGAAACAACAAAGTAGAGTACTGCTTCCGGTGTTACATACACCGCCGATTGGCGCGCCTCACGTACGAGCCATTGACGAGGCGAGCCGATATCTCCAGCCTCCAGCCGACACATTGACGCTTTGGAGCAGCGAGGACGAGGAGCGACGGCGCAGATTGCCTCTCAGACGAGTGATTTGAGCCCGAGTGTCTCCCTCCGAGTAATGACGCACATTGCCGAAAAGATTGAACTTCGTGATTTGTGCTGATGACAAAGACCGACAAAGGAAATCTTTTTTGACGAACCTGAGATTCTTCGTTCTGCATTTTGTTTACATGACTGATATTACAATTGTTTTTGCGAGAGAGATAATGTCACGTTGCTGTACATTTGCTACAATGACGTAGCTTGAGGTGTTTTGTTTTAATATTTGTGCGTTTTAACTACAAAAACCTTATAATTAATCCATTAAAAATTGCACATAAATCATTGAATAAACGAATGTAGAGTCACAGATAATATAATACTAGTGTAGAGTCAAGTTACGCGTCTGTGTATTTGGTTTAAAAAGTGAGTGAGCATAACTAAAAAATAATAAAAAGTAGGTAGGTACACCTACCGATTGCGATGAGAAAGGTATTCTTGATGTCACCCGTCATTTTATTTTCCTCCCTAACCCTCCCGGCCGCTATTTCTGTCTGCACCCACGTGTGCTCGTAGTTACTTTGAAGTGATATCTTCATGTTTTCTCCAATTTTAGCGATTCTAATTGACAGTGACAGACTCCGATTTACCTATTCTGAATTCTGATTGTTGCAATATGTGAACACTTTACGAGATTACGGCTTATATTTCTGTGACTCACAATGTGTGTTCACTATCAATTTTGTGAGCACTTCAACAGAAAAAGAAAGGTGACTGACATCTGATATGAAAGCTCTTTGTGGAATACCTTTGTCGGCCGAAACTAAAGCGAAACAAACCTCATTAGATCAGACAAATGGTAGCATTAATCTTTGGATTTGGGCAGCCATTAGCATTCAGGCGACTCGTGCGCAAGGTCGCGCTTATATGGCGAGATAAACCGCTGACAGCAGTTTAGCTGAGATTTACTGCTTATATTGCTTAGCAAGGATTATTTCCTAATGAATACTAAGTGAGCTTGCTGAAACACAAAGTTACACAAAAGAGTTCGGTATCGAACGCTTAATATTCATAACCAAAAAGCTTTATCGTAACTCTTTTGCATAAGTAAACATTACAATGACCCGATTTCTATAATTTAATCCAAAGCAAATGGCCTGGAAATTAGGCGGTACCCATTCCCAATGATACCAAGATACAATAATAACGGTGGAAGGCAATCGCTTCATACAGACGTGTGCCATGTTGTGCGTAATGAACGCGAGGGATTATCGGAAATAGCGGTCTAGCCATTACCGGCCCAAATGGACCGTACATTTATTTTACGGATCCTAGATACAACTATCACGAATGCGTAGCCATCGATGTCCCTGTCCTCTGGCGCGACTATTATATGTACACGCCTTCATATTATGCGTGCAGGTGACACTCAATTCCATCAGTCATGCTCATGACTGACGAAAATCTACAGGACTCCATAGATTGAACATTTTAATTTTTCAGCGTGTAATTTTACTAACAATGAATGATACTAGATGGCGCTAGTAGTAACAAAAGTGTAATATTGTTTCAGCTAAAAACTACAATAGCGACAAGGGGTGCATTGGATGGATACGTGAGTGAAGGAGTGCAACAATGTAGACTCTACATTGTAAAGGTAATCCAACCACTTCGATTATTTAATTTACTACATCAATGTGCAACCACAAGTGTGACGTCGACCGCAAGACCGCGACCGTCATCCGCATCTATTATCTGTGTCCGCATGAAACGATGGCGCTGCGTTGGCTGGCGGCCACCACTCACCAGGGCAAATCAAACACCAGGGAAAATTAAAACTGAAATCGAGTGCAGTGTAGGTAACACGTCTAGGCCTGCGAACTGTGCTGTGACTGCTAAAAACCTGAAATAAGTAGATGGTATTCAAACAATCTTAAGGAGAATATTCGACAGGAATGCAAACAGATATCACCGGATGTCTTGCAGAAAGGCATGGAAAATGGTTTATACGGGACACGGGTATTAGCCTGTCAGCAGTGCTTGTGTGTAATCAAGCTCTGTTGGACGATTGTTTGATGCATTATTTGCAAGTGAGCACCTGACGACCGGGGCGGGAGAGGGGGAGGGAGGGGGGCGCTTGCAAGGTGACACCGGGGACCGGACTCGGTGGAGCGCGGCACTAGAGATACGCAGACACGACGCTACTCAACAAGTCCTAGAGGTTTCCAACTTAATTGAGAACTATTCGATTTTAGGGAAGTTACACATTGGGATTACCTACGGCCAGATCTCAAAGAATCTTCAACATTGTGCCTATCATTTTCTTTTTCAGCGTTTTTTAATAGGTAAATTGTAACTTCGGCTAGCTAGAGGGCTGAGCTGAACCTCTCAAATGTTATGCACGCTGCTATTGTCAGTAGACAACAGCACCTATCTATGTACAATGCACAAAGCCATAAAACATACAGTAGTAGCAGTAGTAGGTACCTACTCGTTTAAGATCAGCAAATGTGTCGAACTGTGTTCTAAAACTCTCCATGTTTACTTATTTAAATGGCTTATTTTTTAGGAAAATTTGTCACTAATCAGAGAGGACTTAAATATTTAAAATTATCATAACAAGCCAGCCACAAAGTTTAAAATACACATACTAAATAACACAAAATCAGAACAATATTATAGTTAAGAGTTATTTTACAATGACTAGTTAGGATCTTACAGTAATATAAACGGCGCCTTACATTTTTCTCTTTTATTTCTTTTTTTTTTCTTTAAATGTTTTTCGTTTTTGAGCCACCTATCTGATTCTACTAAACGTATCTTTATGTATGTCCAGGGTGAATTTATTTGCCAAATAGAAGCGGCTAGTGTTTGGTATTAAAACCTTCCCGCAGGACTCACCGGCCGCCGCCGTAGTAAGCCGTTTACAATGTAGAGTCAGTTACCGCACGCTGATGAACTGAAGCGTTTCGCGTTACACCGG